TTTACATCTTGTGAGTTTCAATGACGCGTTTGATTTTATAAAAAAAATGCCAAACTTTGTGACAAAGAATTTCATCAGCTATTGACCCGAACCGGTCCGTCTTCTCGCTGCAAGCAGATTGCCCCGAACCGGTCCGTCTTCTCGCTGCAAGCAGGATGAAATTCTTTGTCACAATTGTTGCCCCATACCAAATTTGAACTAAATTGGTTAAGGAATAAAAAAGTTATGACCAAATTACCATATTTCAAAATTATCAAATGCAACGTTTAACATGGTAAAAAATGTGCACTTTAAAACTATATAGAGTCTTTTAAGCGTCTAAAAAATAAAATATTAATATACCATATAATTTTCATTTCAATTACCTATGTTTTGATATCTAATATGTTATATATTATGCTAAAACCATTGTTCAAGAGTCTTCCGAAAACAGATATACCATTACGTGTTAGTAATTCTGTAAATGTACATGAGATCGGGACATAGTATGTTCTACAGCACAACCGTAACACACTGCTGGTTCACGACTTAAATGATACCTATTCCTTGTAATTGTAAATGTCATATCATGCAGCTTATGTTTGTGCAGTAAAATTTGTTTTACACGTGCTGGTGCTGTACATTATTTTAATTAATATAAATAATTTCACAATGAAGTGCGCTTCTAAGCATACAGGTTTTAAAACGAGGGTTAAAGTCCGAGTTCACTAACCAAGCCAGAATTGTTAGTATAGTTATTTATTTATTTATTTATTTATTTATTTATTTAGCCTCCAATACTGAAGAATAGTTTGACAATTAAAACAATCTTACACTATACCTTATGCTAATTAGACAATTACAATATCATGAATTATACATGTATATATGGGCAAAATTTAGACCCAAAATAACAATGGATACATTGGTAAATCAGCTAAAAAATCTTCTGTGGTACATAATTGATACACTCTTACATGAAATAATCAAAACATTATCCCAATTTTTCATGCTAAAAATACAGATGATATAAAATAGTTCGGCTCAATATGAGATGTTTACATAAAGACGCTAAACATGCATTTTCAATTTCTCCACATTCAAACGAGACTAATCAATTCTTATTGATAAAAAAGTAAGAATAGCTCAAATAAAAGATGTCACCAGATGCTCATGTTACAGCTAAAATATGTTGTCAACGGTGTGTGGTGGGTCATTAATACGCTTGACAATATAATATAAACTGAAGGGCATATTACACTATCATATCACTGTCATATTCCCCACTCTCTCATTGGTCTATATATTACACGTGACATAAAATAAAAAGACGTATGCAACGGCCTTCGGGCTTCGGTAAATATACCTTGCTGGAATCATTGAAAGATGATCAGGTATTCACCTCAATAGTATGAAATATTTGTATATTATCCTTCAGGTTTACGGTTATTCATGCACTACACTTTGCAGAGGCTGTATTTACGCATGCGCATTTCGTATATTTATCATATATGTATTTAAGAAATGTAGACCGAAAAGCAGGTATCATATCGACCAATAAACACCGCAGGGCTAGAGACAGAAACGTTTTCTGTATCCCAAACGACCGAAGGGAGCGAGGCGTTCGAAACATTTATGCGGAACGGACCGTTGATATCTGAATATTTATTTTGTTCCTTTAATACAATAGCTTAGAAATGTATGACAAGTTTGAAGAATTTTAAAAATCGTCAGATTTAAACAGGCCTTAACATGTGGTTCTAAAAGGAACTTCCAGTTGTCAAACTTAAGGAGGGGAGTGTATATGCCTATTTGTCAACGCGATTCTAACTAGGTGCAAATATTTAATTGGAAGGTGATTTATAACGGTCAGTAAAAACCAATGAGGAAGTCATTGCATTTCTTTAATTGACATAAACTTAAATCAAATACATGGTACATTCGTCACTTTACAAAAAATACGAGCTAAACTGCTCTTTAGTTTTACTAACTAATAACCGTGTAAACAGTACATAATGTTTTATAAAAGAGTTAGCGTCAGTGTGATGTACGATTTTGTTGTTTTTTAACAAACAAATAACAGTTCCTGCTTTTCAGAAAGTCGACTTTATTAATTAGTAAAAGCATTAATAAAATTTCATGACATCTAACCAATTCACACGATGTGCAATTAGTGCTTTGGAGGTTTGGTGTATATTAAGATAAAAATGAAGTCTCATTGGTCTAGATATAAAGATCATACCTCTTTGAAAGTATTGTCAAAAGAAAATTTATTTGGTGTAATCCACTTGAATGGGCGTGATTATCAACGATAGTGACATAAATGTTGACAGGCTTGTTGACCCTAAGGTCAATCTACTTCGTTGCTTCTTTCAACTTTCGTAAGAATTGCAACACTTTAGTAAATGTGTATCTAAATAGGTCTAATGCCATTATCATTTACACATAATATTGAATAGATTTAATTATAACATGATGTACGGAGTAGCCCCTCTCGAGATATTAAAAATAGACAATGTTTTTGTATTTTTAACTAAAGTGGTAACTTTATTTAGAAATCGATGACGTGACGTGGGCTGAAGGAGAAGAGGGTACTTTGTACCAGTGCTGATCAGGTAGAAAGTAACATAAAGAATCTATGTCATGGCAATCCTCGTGTTGCCATGAAATAATAGTCTACCGCCACTTATTGCTATTGACTTATCTGAAGTGCCTCCCCCGAGAGTACACCGATCCATACAACACCACACTATTCCTCCCGCAAATCAACTTACCAAGGCAATACTTTTTAAGACGTATCAAGAGCAAGGTGATCCCGCATTAATGATTTAAATAATAAATATGAGTAGTTCAAACTTAATTTCATATGGCAATTCAATAAAATCCTACGTCATACGACGTTTTTTAACATAAACAGGTTGAAGTTATTTTGACCAGGTATTCTTTTTTGGCATGGGTCGTACAATTAAAATCCATCCGATATTTCCACAAAATGAGAAGCTCTACGACCGGTTTTATAGTTGTAATAAAACATTAAAGAAACATTGACGTAATACATGAAATTTCAACTTAACCAAACATTGCGTTTTTGAATCGTAATTGAGAAAAAATTGACACGTCATAAAGTATCATCCCACTTATATGTATACCCTCAAACGGTCAATAAAACTTCAATAAGACAAGAAAGGTGTGTTAATAAATGACAGAATTGTTAAAATAAATTAGTGTATTTCTATTAAGTTTTTCTAACTACAAGCTGATTTAAAAGAACTGTATGTAAGGGGGATTACGCTATTGTGCAAACACTAAGAAATATTCAGCGGGACTTTCAAGTGTGACAATGTATGTTGACAAACATGAAGTTATATGCGCGTAAACGTTCTTTCTGGGCTAAACCTTAATCTGTATTTTGATAATGATTTAGGCAAAATTTATGTTGGAAGCTCAGATTCAGAATTACAGCGAGGGATTTACGAAGCAAGGGGCATATTTTAAGCCCCCCACAGAGGTGTAACAGTTCCGAGTCAAAAAAGAAGGTCTTTTGGTACACGGACGCAACATTCTTCAAGTTCAACACATCATAGCCAATTTAATTCATTTTATACGAGAAAAAACGGAAAATAGACAGCACTCACCATCGCAAAGGAAGACACGATCGTTTCATAACCAAGTTGATTGCAAGTTTTCAAGTTAAACGAGTTATTTGACCAGAGACTGAATACTTGATGTTAAAGGATGTAATGATAAATTAAAACAAAACAGTAGACTCGGAAAGAGAAGTGGGTCATATATTTGCAAGCAGGTCAAGGAAGTGCAATTTCGGATTAAGACAGTGTAGAATGCACATTTAGATAAGTGTAATGTCTATGCCACTTTAGAAGGATAACAGTTATCATCAATAGTCGGTTGATTCATTCAATTAATTGCAAACGGAAGACAATTAACGTTTCTTGGTTATGCGCATGACGTTGCGTTTTACACGGTAGAACAACAATAAAACGTTGTAATCACCTTCTTGATGAATATTAAACAAATTACGTTAATTCCTCCATAGGGAACCATCAATATTTTATGTGTGTTTAACCAATAATTTGATTTGAACACCGACGCAATTCTTGTCTTGATGCGTTTTCCCCAATCAACAGTGAGTGAGATGCCGATTCCCCCAATGAAACAGGTACGCGATTATGAAGTGTAATAAGGATTGATCAGTCCACTAATTACCACGTGGGATACTTTGGATTACCCATTCGTAGAGGATGCTTTAGGTACAATTACGTAACTTTGGAAGCTGTGCATTGGTTCTGATAATTAATGAAATTGGTGCAGACAAAAGCTCCCGTCGGCGAATTGTGTGTGGTCTTTGAGACATCAAACCATGTGGGCAACTATCGTTATTTATTGATAGATTTGACCATATATAAAAGAAAAATCTGTGGTCTAAGCCACAAGCGTGCCAGCACTATATAGGCAAATGGATTACTGCAAAACTATCAAGAGACGCTAAACTTTCTTTAAAATCAAACAAGATCTAATGTGGATTACAGGTAAAACAGGCAACATTTGTCAAGAATAGATATCTGGACAAAACAATTTTACCAGGGGCAAGCAGCTTAGCAAATCAGTATTTCTTAGGCATATATTAGAAGACAAAACGATCATTTGGATATATTTGATAAATAAATTAACTTTGAAAGCATGTTGACGGTGCTGGGAAAGGCATAAATCTAGTCAATAAAAAGAACAAATCCAATATATACCGAAGTAGTTTAATGCCATAACAGTCGGGTTAGATCAAAACTCCAAAGGAAAGTAACAACACGGTTAGAACTACAAACACAGGTAAAGCCAGACTGCATGTGTGATTAATAAACTAAGAAGACTCTATTAGGATGGATATTATTACACCATTTCTCCAATGAGTTCCCAGGAGATCCGATTCATATAAAGGTGGTGTCTTCGCCACTGCACCTAATGAACGAAAGCTCTCAATACGAGAGATATTACCAAACCAAGACGCTATGTACTGGTTAAGACGCAGCTACGCTACAGAGGTAAGTGAATACCTGGATTTATGGTATTTTGCAAAGCGACATATACCTTGCAAATAAGTTAAATAAACATATTATATGTGAATTATGTTGTTACTTTGGGAGACTGTCAAATTATTCAGTAACTTTGGAAATTTTCATGGGACTTGGCCTCGTTTATTAGTTTTACAAGATAATTTCGAATGTTTATTTGAGTTATCGTGTCAAATGATGACATTTAACAAATCGCAAGCATACCTATCCGGAAAAATCAGACGAAAGATTTCATTGCAATTTGTTTGGCAGTTGTTCATTCTATATTTGATGCAACATTTCTGATAAATGATGTTGCAATTTGCAACAGTGAATCTGTGACAATGCAATATGGATGGCACGCCATGTATTGGGCATCTTTTAAATATATTATTATTTCCATAGGGAATCTCGATCGGATTTAAAATCTTTATAACTGAATGCTTTCGTAAAATGACAATTTTTTGTTAAATACTTGTTGAGTTAAAGTTGTTTTCATGATGTACGGTAAGTTGACCGCCACAACCTGACCATTTTCTGGCATGTTCCTTTGATAACATTCTCAGTGACTTTATCAACTGTTGGCATAAAACATTTTTTGTTTGCTAGTGTCCAAAGCAAGATTCTCCAAAGCAAGTTCTTTAATGCTATTAGAGTTACATTCGATGGCTTGATACATAATTAATTCGGTAGTATTTTGTGGAGCTCCTTGGGTTGATTGGTTTAAAAAGATGTAGTCATATTTGTCAAAATGGGGGGAGGGGAGTAATTATAAAGGTTAGGATGATGTTTGACAGTTCGTATGAACAAATGACCTTAATGCCCGACATTCTTAATGACATGTAAAACAATTAGATTCGCTCTAACAAGTGATCTCGAGATAGGAAAGTCTTGTCGTCGAAGTTGTGATAGAAGGTTTTATTTTTGAAAGCTACGTGTTTTGTTGTGCATATTGATAAGTTCATTCTACTACATGTAATTTTTATGTCACAGAAGAATTCGTAAACTTCGTAATCTGGGATTTACTCTAATTCCACATAAGCACCAAAATATTTAAATTTCGAAGTATTCAAGTTATTGAAAAGTCCATAGATGAACAATTACACAATTTCTGGGTCCCAGCCCTACTTTCCAGACTTTCTACTATCTCGTTAATGAAACAATTGAAAATAAATATATTAGTTGATATCCGAAGACAAGAATAATGAAAATGATAAGATTTGGAATAAACCTGTACCCATTGACTTTCTCTTTGTCCCGCACGCTTATATTTATTGCCTTAGAGTCAACTTGCTCGTGCCCAAATGACATCTGATCTTCCATTGGTAGAACCCGCTGTCTTGACATGAATGAAAGTGCGAACGCTATTGAGAAAATAATAGTTTTTTTGAATTGGAATCCTTCTTCACATTTCTAATGGTGAGACTAACATTCCTGTCCAAGATCACTTTACATGTGTAATGAAAGAGTTATAACTGATCCCATTTAACATGTTGACTTTGACGTCACCAATATGCTACTTGGTGCCTGAGAAGTATTGGTTGAACCAGATGATTAAGTTCAACCAATATTTGTGGATTGTTGTGCTTTTGATCAATCATATATTGAATACATGTAAACTCAATGGCAACGATGCTAGTTCACCATGACGAGAAATGTATTATTGTAGTATAGTTGATTCGCAGTTACGTAAGGTAATGGCAGTGAACTTTGGATGGGTTCAGAAACCCTTTTTTTTTACAAATGCGTATAGAATCAATCGAATTGAGAGAGTTTTTTTTCAAAAATTGTCCTTATCTATAATTGTATTGTTTCTTTCTATACAAGAGTCATTCCTTATGTTTTATATTCTCGCAATGCTTTCTCTATGCCCATAATCTGGTTGTATCTGTTTATGTTAATGTTTAAATTTTCGTTTCTAAGTCACGTTTGTTATTTCAAAGAGTTTCGAGAATTCTACACCTTAAGTCTTGAATGCTTGAAAACCTATTTTATTTGAGACCATGGTTACATGTTCATTATAGGAAGGAATGTCAAGGTGTGATTTATGAGATCACACTTGATCATCTCGAGGTTTCTAGATCTTCCTCTCAAATCTTGATAACTTGAATATTTATTTTTTCCATTTGATACCATCGTCACCTGTTCACTATTTTAAGGAATCTCATGATGTGATTGATGGGATCACATTTGATGATCTCGAGGTTTCTTGATCTTCCTCTTAAATCTTGATAAATTGAATACCAATTTTTTCCATTTGATACCAATATTAACTGTTCACTATTTTAAGGAATTTCAAGATGTGATTGATGATCGATGATCGATGATCACGAGGTTTCTAGATCTTTCTCTTAAATCTTGATAACTTGAATATCATTTTTTCCTTTTGATGCCATGGTTACCTGTTCATTATTTTAAGGAATTTCAAGATCTCATTAATGATTCCATACTTGATGATGTCGAGGTTTCTAGATATTTCTCTTATCTTAATAACTTAAATAACACTTTTTCCATTTGATTCCATCGTTACATGTTTACAATTCAAAAGTATCTCGACATTTCTAGATCTTCACCTGAAATCTCGAATACTTGAAATAATTTTCCAATTGGTACCATGTTTACACATTTATAATTTCAAGGATTCTCAAAATGTCACTTATTGTTCCCGAGATATTTTCCGAGATCCTCATCTTAAATCTTGAATATTCGAATTTTAACTTTCCCATTTGAAGTCACGGTTACATCTTTATTATTTCAAGGAACCTCGAGATTTCTAGATCACCTTAGATCGTGAATACTCGAATAACTTACTTTTCCATTTGATACCATGGTTACATGTTTATCATATTTCAAAGAATCGCGAGATTCCCGAAATCTGCACCTTAAATCTTGAATACTTGAATGATTTTAGTCGTGTTTTGCCGCATTTGTGTAAACTAGAGCTCGTGGCAGTGATGTATAAACTCAGTTTTTAACTCATATGACTTTTGCAATATCCCCTTTTTTACATCATGAAGCTTTTTGGATTCCATATCTAAATACATATTTATGGTTTAAAAGTGGAGCAACATATGACTTTAATTCCTGTGTATGTAGTAGTAATCCGCTTTCAGTTGACGTCCTCAATCGTTTTATCTTTGCCAAAACGTTGTCTCAAAGTTTAAGGTGATGTTTGTGGTTTAATACAGTTATGGTTGCGAAATGTTCTGCGTCTTTTTATTAGTATAAGTTGTTAATTGATTATTGTGTCATGTTTGTTTTGCATCATCTCCTACTATCACTTGATTGATCGACGTCTCGGCATCCAAAAAAGTAAAATAATCAGATTGTTCTTGACCACAATAGAAGCGCCAGCAAGATATTAGGAGTTGTTAGAAAACGCAAATGGCGACACTAGGAACGCTTAAAATCAATCCACGAAACTGTGATATTATATACAGCCATAATTGTTGAAATAACAAAACGGCCCATAAAACTATATCTAACATAGAATCCCAAGTGCCCCAAAATCACTGCCCACTACAAATTGAGACTGGTAAATGTATACCTGAAACATAATTAAATAAAATTTTCTATATTTCCAGGGAGAAAAGGTTGTTGTACTAGCATTAACAGCTTGTCTCTTCTCGAGTGTAATAGTTCTAACAGACACAAAGCATACCCCATCAAGGACTGACCTTGCGGACACTGATGCTCGGACAATGGGCCTGGAAAGATCAGAAACTAAGTCACAAACAAAGAGGAATACTCGGAGGAGGCATAGACATAAAAATAGGAAACAACGCAATAGAATTCCACTACTAAAAGAAATAGACCCATCACTAATCTCAAATTTAGTTAGATTTTCTCCAACTCGGCCGCATTCACCGCCGTTCCCTTATCCTGTATCCTTCATTGACGAAAAGGAAGAATCTGTGCTAAAACTTGCCCTACATAAAAAAGACGATTTAAATGAAAGGAGAAGTAACGTGACTGATATAGTTCAAGAACGACAAAGACGTTCTGTCACAAGTGCTGTAAAACGAAAAAATAAAAATAGAAATAAACGAGATCGACGAAAGAGATCTAAACGGCGAGATATGAGTGTGCCGGTTTGTACAAGCTCAAGCCGGTGGGTGCAAAGAACGGACGCTGAAGATATGTGGGGCAATTCAGTGAAAGTGGCTCAGCACATACCAAGTGGTAATTCCATGATTAACCAATACTTCTACGAAACATTCTGTAGGAGACAAGAGCCAGCACCTTGCTATGGCATCGATAGTGAACGATTTGACTCTCTCTGTGAAAACAAATATATCTGGACATACGCCAGAATTATAAACAGTTTTGGAGAGGAGGGGTGGAATCTCATAAAAATACGAGGATCGTGTAATTGTGCCCTGTTTAGAAAGAAGGGCACTCGACGTGGGTTGTTATCATTGCTATGATGAAACCTCATATATATATGTGCTTGTACTAATGTTTGTAAATTATAACTGGTATGCTCCAGGATGACGTCACTAATGTCGATATTTTACCGATACTGAAATTGAGAATAATTTTCGTACCGAGTTTCCAACATGTATATATATATCAATGTATTTATTTAATTTATTTGTTAGTGGCAAACATTACCATATGTCTAACTCTTTAACATTCCAGACTTATTCATCAAGATATTCTTTGGACTAAAAAGTCATCGACTATTTGCATTGCTATCGCCTATTTATTCAACTGTTCATCAAAAATGTACCAAAAAGGAGTGAACCATTTTTGTGGTCAAGTTTGTATGTCTGTAAGTAGCATTCCAGACTTTTTCTCTCCGATAATTCTAGGTTTATCACGCCCTACTAACATAGTCTCAAGTTTAGTAATTAATAAGGTTATTTAGGGATGGGCTTGGTTTCCTTTGTACTTCATATTCCCACCTTTCAAGAAGGTGCAAAATATAAATATTCTCATACCAGGTGCTATTGTATAAGCTGTTTTCGATAAGATGTCTATATAATATGATATCTAAATGTATATTAAACGCACCCTTGAACATTTAGGCTAACGATGTTTCAGTATTTATATCTAGCGTAACCACGTACTATTAACTTAGACAACTCGATAGAGAAAGTGATATTGTATTTGTGATTCGACTCGTCACACTGGGTAATATTGTACAATCACGTTATATTGTATAATTTTCGTTATTTTGGGAATTTGACTCTAAATAATAGGTAGTATTGTTGTTTTGTGAAATCGAGATGTATTATTCAATTTTCACTATTTTGTGATATTAATCGAAACAATAGGAAGCATTGTAAACTGGCATTATATTGTATAAGTTTAGTTTTGACATGAATCACTGGTTAGTAAATGCAAAACCACGATATATTGTATAATTTTTGCAGTTTTTTTTATTAGACTCGTGTTACTGGGTAATATTGTAAAATCACTTTATATTGTATAATATTCGCTGCATTCTTGCGTCCCCCCTAGATTTTGCTCAGATATATATTGTACCGCTCTTCAGTTATGCTTATGGGAATCATGAAGTAACCACCTGTTATCGGCCTTGGTGCCTTGATGTTACCTTGGTGTGTCCTCTCTCTAGAGACATCTCACTACTGAGAATAGCCTCTCATTAAAAGTGTCGTATCATTATTAATAAAATACTCTTCTTGCCCTCGATGAGCTAAAATTAAGTCGTTACATCAGTCATTACATCGTTTTCGGTTCTTTCACGTTAAGCAAGGTCAGGTGTGTATAACAAATCATTTACCTGGTATTAGTTATATTGGATTTTGAGTGATGCCAGTGACTTATTTTGAAGTAAACGTTTTGTGATTGTTATATTTCATTTTTGTTGTATCAAACGATGTCTATAAACATATCAATGCGGTTTATCTTGAGATTCCGTTCTTTATTGAATTATTGAATGTCGTAAAATGACGTAACGTGACGTAACACGACGTAACTTGGAAACGTTTGTGTAAATTATCGTAGGTGGTAATTTCATTGTTCTAATACGACCATAGTAGATTAAGGCCCCTAACATGATTACTATTGGACTAATCCGATAATCTCCGTTAATCTTCATTCAGTTCATATGAACATGTCTCCACTTTGAAGAAATTACCATCAAATAATTATAGAAACTGAGCATGTGGGTGTAGGATTAGATTATCATTCGTTTGAAAATAGCGTTGTGATGTTCAATGTATTAACAGTAAATCGAGACTTAATTGTCTCGTGTAAATGGTGGCAAACATGCCAAAATATAATAACATGCACTTATTAAACTTGCATATATTATATGCAATATATAGGTCTATTGGTGTGCAATAGGAAACATATTTTAGCAAGACAAATGTACATAATGCAGGTATAATGTGTACTAATATTCGAATTTGATTGTCTCAAATGCAAAAATAGGAGGCTATGTATAGTGACCATAAGGATTACAATTACACTTTTGTATTTAATATCATTTAAATACCTGTAACTTCAGTATTCTGAATCCAAAACACAGACAACAAAGCTTCATATACAAAGATGAACACTTTGTTGTTTTTAGAAGCTAAACTTGTAGATATAGGTAACGATAACTAACGATGTGTATTTCATATTTTCCACAAGTTTTGGTAAAATTATATTTATTGGAGTACTTATTTCTTCATGGAAAAATATTACGTAGATGACGTCACAACCCTAGCAAAGGTTGTAAGATAAAATTCCATTGTGATATTATTGCGACGAACTGAGAGATTGATAGTATTGTATTAACGTATACATATTTGAGATGACAGGGATAATATCACAATCCATATATGACTATTACATTATTGGTTTGTTTTGTTACATTATGTTGTGTACATTGGAATCTTAGCTAAAGCCAAAGATATGAAGAGAATGAGACTGAAGTATATAATAAATATATTTTGACATAAGAATCTTTAAGTTTGTTGATTACAAAGAGAAGCGTAACGATGTCTATAAAAAGAAGACCAGTGCAGAAAAACTCTCAATTTTTCTCTCTAAGGAATGATAAGTCTATGATTTAATTATATTTAGAAATAGTATTTGCAAGTGCCTCTTAAAATATTTGTAAAGTATCCTTTCGTCACGATGCAAGCGTTTCCTCATTCTAAGAATCTATTGAGGCTAAACATGTTCAACCCCTAGCACTTCAAAAATTGCGACTTATTATTGTAAGTAATACCAAGATAACTTGAAACCACATACAAAGTATGTGATACCCATTGCATCATTCTGTTTTCCACAACTTTTCGTAGGATTGCTTAACCTCTTGAATCCAAGGCTCTAAAATCGGTTGAAACCATTCATTTTTGCCACCTTTTGACATTTCATTACATACATATAGAACTTTAGAAGCTCAACTTAGTAAAATCGGACGGCGGAGATCATTTCTACAAATTTTAAAACAAGTTTCTCGTCACTCTGGGTTTTAAGTTCATTTCTGAGGTGACGAGATATCTCGTCACTCCAGGTAGTCAATACTATCTCAATAGAACAGTTCGCACAATGCAAAACATGCCGACGTGTCAATTCAAATATTGAAACCCTAATGCATATGTAATCATGATGTTGATTATGGGTCTACATCTATGGCTAGGAATACCAGGACAGTTGTATTATCCGACACATGCTGACATGTCAAAATCTTGAAACATTTTTTACATATGTTATCATGATGTTGATAATGGGTCTACAACTTCGGCTAGGGACATCATGACATGTCAGAATCTTGAAACAGTTTATACATACAGGGTGTTCCAAAAGTAACAGGACTGTTGCTGGCATTTTGTCAATTTTGCACCTTGTGTCTTCAAATTTTTACAAATTGTACTTTGAAGTATAATAACTAAAATTGTAAAGTTTCAGAAAAAATGATTGAATGTGGGCAGAGTTATGTTTACTATACTAACATGACATCACAATACCCGGAGCAACTCTTTCCTGAAAATATGATATATAACACTTTTGTATTACTGAAGAAAGTATCTAATTCACATATTATAATACAACACTTCTTGGTTTATCCTATTAGTTGCTTTGTTGTAAAGGTGTTGATATACGTACATGTTGATGTTCGTACAACTCAGATTCAAGTATAATTTCATAATAATAATAATATTTATTCAATTTCCTGGAATATCACTATCTATAACAGTCTGAACAATTCACGGTTGAGTTTTTGAAAAGACCCAATTTGAAGCCAGTCATCCGCCTTGATGACCCGCCTGCCCGCAGGTCAGCCTTAAAGACCATGCAGCTATAGAGGAGCTAGGTCTTGAGGTCTAAAACCATGCACCATACTCTTCTGATCATGCAATCTAATTTTTACTTATATGGAGAATGGAATGCTAATCAGCGCTGTACGAACTTTAAAGATGAGAATGACCTTCTCCAAGTTGTTCAATCTACCCTGCATAACATGTCCTCAAATGGGTTCACTCATATCTTTTAGTCATGGATACAGAGTGCTACTCTTCTACTGACCAAAGAGGAGCCTTCCTTTCAAAGAAGAGGATACATAAGAATATCAAATGATGTAAAGCAAATGTAATTCCCACCAGTTGTTGCATTTCAACTTTGATATGGGATGTATAAAATGCTTAATGTCTCTGAGTATTTAACAAAATGCCAGCACCAGTCCTGTTACTTTTGGAAGACCCCCTGTATGTTATCATGATGTTGATTGTGGGTTTACATCTATGGCTAGGAATATCAGAACAGTAGCAATATCCGAAACATGCTGACATGTCAAAATCCTGAAACATTTTATACATATGTTATCATGATGTTGTTAAAATCTCTACAACTATGGCTAGGGACATCAGGACAGTAGTACAATGCAAAACATGCTGACATGTCAAAATCTTGAAACATTTTATACATAGTTATCATAATGTTCATAATGGGTCTACAACTATGGCTAGGGACATCAGGACAGTAGTACAATGCAAAACATGCTGACATGTCAAAATCTTGAAACACTTTATACATATCATGACAGGTCAAACGTTTGAAGTATGTTGTCTACATATTATGTTATCATGATTAAGTAGTGATATCAACTGCCAATACATATAATTATACCTGATACAGTGACAAATCAACTCAAATTACTCCAAGTTAAGATATGCAATATTAACTTTATTTCAACGGCATACCAAAACACTTAACTTAAATGTTAACATACGTAATATTTTGTTAATATTTTGGAGTTGTCATTCTGTACATTTGCTAACGTAAAACAATGAAGGGAAGCATATAAAAATAAAAATCTTGATGATTAATCATCCATAACATGTCATGACATAGAAGAACATGTCAAATCTCCGCAGGAAAAACACGAACTTGTCTTGTCTGGTATATTTCCCTATAACCAAGGGCATTTCCAGCTTAGGATCAGCTCGATTTATTTCATAACACCAAATTCTTCAACAGAAATAGTTTTGTATACGAATTCTTATATAACACAGAAGCCATCTAAATCTCAATAACTCAACGTCAATTCTTTCCTTGTATCTAGACTATCATTTAAATACTTTCACAAATAAACCAGAGTTTTCAAGTAGCACAATCCAAGTGGATGTAAAACAGCGAAACATAGTTCGGTACACGACTCGTACATCAACTCGGGGATTGTAAATGCTTTGTAAATGAACTTGAATTCAAAATGCATTGTAACATTCTATTGATAAAAGTTATAATGAGAAGGGCCCAACGCATATTTGAGTTTCTCATGCGTTGCCGTGGTGCCCTCTAATGTATTCATAAACACCAAACCCAATTTGCAACGAATAGTGGAATTTGAAAATGTTAATATACATGAACAAATATATTTTCTTTATAAAATTATACATGGTGACACACTTCTCCTATATATTATTATTGGCTGATGGTAGTTAGATATGACAAGTATATGACTGACCAGTAATTTTCCCATATAGCAAAGACAACATTCAACTTAATATAAAAGCTACTTAGCAAACGGCTTAACAGTGTTTTGATATGTGGTCAACCGCTAATAAAGCACTTAAAGCCCGTAATGCTACTAATGAAATGGACTTGT